AACCTTCCTAAATAGTCCAATGACCAGAAATTAGATTACCTATGGGTTCTCAACAGAGATAAAGTCAAGTTATATCTTATGTAATGCCAATGAGTTTTATGATTTAAAATTGATATTTTTGTTAATTGCTTTAAAAATAGCCCAAAAATGTATATTTTATAATTAAATCATTTGCGCCAAAAAGCTGCCATTTGGAACAATATAAATTCTAAATCTGACCTTTTTAGTATCATAAATCCTTGCCAAAAAGGAACCTTCCACAACTCTTTTTATGTCTAAATTTTATATCTACCATAAAAGGGAGTTAAACAGACTTTTCCCAAATCAARAACTAAAGATAGGTTTAAGGTAATCATCATTACCCTACCCCTATGAGTGACACAGCCCCCAAAACAGATTGCACACTCTTCGAGTGGCGGCCATTTGGGGGGKCTAAACTCATCATTTTCCAAATATTGAAAATTTATATTAAAGCTAACACATTAAGATAGCTTCAAAAGAAGATTCACCTATTTTTAACGAGTTTTTACATAATAAAACCGATTTAAGGTGCATGCAAGATTCTATAAGTGATGCTATTTTCGCACGATAAACATGCATCAAGAACTTGAAGATTCAGAACTTAACTTTATGGCCAAAAATCCGCATGCAAGTACCTTTACCAAATTTTCTTGAGTTCTAATCGTTTGCAGATCATAGATTACCATCAGTTTGAAGACATTTCCATGTCATTGATATATAATCTCTCACCTTAGACTCTCCAGAAAGTTGTTTATAAAAAGATCGATGAGAAAAGTGTAGGGAAATAAGAAATTTTGACGAATAACGGGAATAATGAAACTAGTCCCTTACCTTTTGAATGAAATCTTGAATAATCCTCAAGATGGATTAGATTCTTAATGTTGTTGGAAGATGAAATCGGCCGAAAGGGTACGGTTTAGAGAGAGATTTTTTTTTTTTTGAGAAGAAAAGTTTATGCAAGGTGGGAGGTGAAAAAAAATGAGAGTTTTCAAAGGATGTGGGGTATTTATATGTGAGATTTAAGGAAGGAAATGGGCCGGTCTTAAAGGCCCAAGTCCATTTAAAAATTATTTTTCTTTTACACAATTTAAGGCCCATTTAACTTTATATCCAAACTACAATTTGCCAAACATTGATAAAAATAACATTATTAAATCAAAGCTCCACGTTTTTGGTAAAATTATTTGGACATTCAAATGAGATTTTTGTATTTTAATTTGGACTTATAATATCAACTTTATTATATTTGGAGCATTTTTAATATATTTGGCATTACATAAGTTAACTTAATCCGCTACTTGTCGAAACAAAGTTCACTGAACTATATTTTGGGAACTAAGCCAGATGAATTTCAATTAATCATGACTAGATCATAAATAAATATAGCTCTAAATATAGGTACCCTACAAAGGTGCTAACCTGATGCTCCAAGAATGACGGATGTCACATGAAACAATATTATTACATGTTTTAAGGGTGTGTTTGGTACACTGGACAGGGACAGGACAAAACATGACAGAGATCCATGTCCCATGTTTGGCATGAATTTTATGTATAACAGACATGAACAGAGTGGAACAGGTCTGTTCCACCCCTACCCCATGGAACAAGGTGGAACAAACTTATATTTTACTAATATAACCTCAAAATAAACTTAATTCTCTTCTAAAACATCAAATAGGTCTCTCTTTTACATTTTATTAATTCTTTAAATTTTATTTATTATATTTTATGTTTCTTAAACTTTCATTTTACTGTTCTCAAAATATTATTTTTATACGGTTTTTATATTTTTATATTTTTATTAATTTATGTAATTTATTATATATTATTAATAAAAAATAATGCAGAAAAGAGAAAAATATAAAAATAGAAAACCATATAAACCTTTTATTTGGTGTCATTTTGATTGTTTTGACGAAAACTTCAAATGATATATTTTGTTATAAAAAATAATTATTCTATTATAATTTAATAAATTACATATATTGTTTCTTGATTTTATCATCGTCAAATGTATTGCGTAAGGTTCACGCCTGCAATTGTTATTTTCGATGAGTTTTGTACATTTTCCCTTGATCAGAGTAGTAAATATTTGATTTTGATCTTACAAGAGTGATTGTACAGGTGATAGGTGAATTCTTTTGTTTTCTATAATCCAAGTTTTGTGAATGTGATGATACTATATGAGATCACTAGCCAAATTGTTTTTTTGATGCTTAAATTTTTTTTACTATTTGATATTTAATCCATTTTAATTGATTATACGCTTGTTGGTAGTAATTTTTTCTTCTTAATATGAAATACATATAGATTTGTTTCGATAATGAATTCTTGATGCTTATATTATATTTTTTATATATCATTAGTTGATTATTGAATCATGTATTATTGCAAATAGTAGTGGTTTGATGTAAGTTATACTTTGCACATTGTATTTGTTAACATTTATATTGATTTATTAGTGAAAAAACACTAAACAGCTTACTAGGGGTAAATTGGTCATTTTAACCAGTTCTGTCCAGTCCTGTCATGTCTTACCAAACACTGAACAGTTTTCCTGTCATGTTCTGTCCTGTACTGTCCCGTCCTGTCCTGCCCTGTCTTGTCCCGTCGTGTCCTGTCAGGGCCGGCCTTGGCCACGTGCAGCCCGTGCGGCCGCACAAGGCATCAAAGCTTAAAGGGACATCAAGTTGTCATTAATTACTAGTTTGGGGTTTAATAATTTGGGAATTGGACAACTGAGTCTTAACTATAAAAACAAGTCCAATGCCTAGTAATGGTGAATACTAAATGCACATTGTTGGAAAAAGTTGGAAAGTTGAAAAAGTTTTTGTTTGTATAAAGTTCTTTGTATGAATAAAGTTGTCTGTATAAATTAATCTGTTTGTATAAGTTAGAAAAGTTTTTGTTTGAGAGAGTTTTTTGCAGAATGTAGGGAGCTTTTTTAGTTGGAAGGAACATGTTTGAAAAAACTTGGCTTTTCATATAAAGTTCCCCTTAAAAGTTTACTAGATAAGTCACTTTCTATATCATTAAGCCACTACGAAACAATCATGCATAGTTATTAAGCTGCTAACAAATAGGCCCTTAGCCTTTAGCTGTTAGACCTGTAAATTTTGAGTTTTACTTTTTGCTTACTATGACAGTAATTTAGATTTAATTTACTATTTTAGTTAAAAACTAATTATAGTTTTTCTTGTCTTTTAAGTCCCATATATTGAAATAAAATTTCTATTTTGCTAATTTCAATCTGGAAAAGGGAAAACTGAAAAAAAAGAAAAAACACGATCTTAATCCAAGATTTATCTTTTTATATTTGATATTCGGGGTTTTGGTTTTTATGTTCTCCCATTGTATTTTTTTATTATAATTAATAAAAATCAATATGAGGATAAGATACTTAGCTTGAATAGATTCTAAACTCTTTTAAAAAATTACATGTTTTGTTGTTCCATTGACTTAAAATAATAGGCTTAAACGTCTTTTTTTTTATTTAAATTTTCGCACATCATAGGACCGACCTGTGTCCCGTCCCGTCCCACCATAAGGGTGCGTTTGGTATGCAGACGACATGGGATGGGACGGAAAAAAAAAAAATAGTCCCATGTTTGGCATGCCATGGACAGAAAATGCATAGGACAAGATGAGACTATTTTTAAATTTCATGGGACAAAACTTGATAATTTTTGTTCCACAAAAAAAAATGGAACAACATGGGACTAAATATAAAATGACTATGTTACCCTTTTATTTTTGACTTTTCTTCTTGTATTTCCTGAAGTTTTTTTGGTTGAATCATCAGTTATTCTTGTTAGTCAATGACGCTGCCAAAATGCCAATTCAATCTTCTTGAAATTGTAAAGGATTTTAACTTTGTGACTTAAATTGCTTAATTCTGATTTAACTTCTCAATAATTTCTTATTTAACTTTTGATTAAAAAAATTCGGGATGTTGAAGCCTGTTTGTACTTTTAACTTTTGTTCGTTATTTGGATGATTACTGTAGGTAGCCCAATGTAACAATGATTTAAAATAACATTGATATAAAATAATTGAACAACATTTAAGAATAATATGATCATTTTAACAGTTTTATCCCGTTCTATCCTAGTCGTACCAAAGGACAGACAATTAGTCTTGCCCGGTTCCGTCCTGTCCAGTCCCGTTCCGTCTGCGTACCACTCCCTAAAAGAAGAAGTAATATGCGATCATACATGGAATTCCCAAAACCCTAATTCATATGTATCCCCTTTTGTGATCGCATAAAAGCTTCACAATCTCTTCTAAAATGGTGTGAATTCACAAAATCAGCCAAGGGAGATAAGAAATTTTAACTTTTTAACAAGCAATGGCGTGTATCCCAGGCTTAAACCCTCCCAAAACCCTAGGTATCTCATCATCGTCGTCTTCTTCAATCGGCAATAATTTACTGTTTTCGTCATCAGCAAGAACCCATTTAAAAATAACACAGATTTCGAAGAGATTTCCGAAGATTTCTATTGTAATGGCGACTAAGCGGCAAGAAAGCGAACTGAGTTTGAATGCCTTGACAAGCAGCGATCGTAGAGATGAAGTTATGGTTGCTGTAAAAAGCTCGCTTTCGAACTGCCTTTCGGAGACGAATCTTCATCTTGCAATCCCTGATCTCAAATCCAAAACAAGAGGCAAGGTAAACATATGTGTATTATATCTTTTCGTTCTTGTGATCAAACCAGTTTTCTAGGTTATAAATACAATCAAAAGAAATCATAAAGTGGTGCAATTTAGAGCAAGTTGCCATCGGTGAGATGTTTGGCCAGTACGTATGAATGGGAATGACTGTTGTTGGCATTTCTATCCAAAGCCAGCTCAGTCCTATTTTCCACCTATGCAAAAATTTCACCCTTTTTTGTAACCATGGTGGTATTTAGAACTGTTAGATACATGGAACCCAATTGGAATTATCTCTAAAAGAGCAAGGAGTTTCTGATATTATAGAGGAGAAAGGATCCGAGTATAGCCGGTGTGAGACTCCAACGGAGGTTAGATGGAGACCATGTCGAGTTCTTAGGGGCTGTTTGGTTGGTTTTCCATTAAGTCTTGTGGATAAAGTGGTCCGTGTGGATTAATTATGATTGGGGAAGTTTTTGTTTAGGAGGGTTTTTTCGTAGATGGAAAAAGCGTGTTCTTTAATTGCAAGGGGTAGGTTTCGGAAAAACTTGGCTTTTTGCATTAAGCTCCGTCCTATAAGCTTACTGAATAAGCCACTTTCTATATCATTAAGCCACTACCAAACAGTCATATATAGCTCACTGAATAAGTTGTGAGTCCATTAAGCTCATTAAACTGCTATACGTGCCCTAAGATTTGGTTGACCTCAGACTCTGATACCATGTGAGATATGCTCTCTAAAAGACTTTGTAGAGAGAAGGGGAGGTTCCAACGTATACAGAGGAGAAACGTCCAAGTTCCAACAAAATCAATTGGCCCAACTAGTCCATGGTTCATGGATTGCTCCTTTTCCACAAGAATGTACAAACTTTAGATCCTTTTTGATCAATGGTCTTGATGCTCAAAGAATTGATAGCACGTAGTGTGAATCGAACTTAGTCTACTCTTCTAGTTGGTGCACATAGATGTGTAACAATTGTATGTTGCCATCATCCACCCCAACATCATAGAAACCAAGCAAACCAAACGATCCCAATATATGCCTCCTGGGGGTGGAGTCTTGGGGGTGGGATGTACGCATACATGAGCTCTACCCCAAGGGATAAAGCGGCTGTTTTCATGAAGACCTCGGCTTGTGAAGAGTGTGAGTATGCCCACCCCAACATAAATGAATGTCTTGTAAATCGTATAGGTTTTGCTATAATTTTATTTGTTTGGTTCTTTGAAGTTGGTTCATTTTCACAATATCAAGTTGTTGTTTTATAGGTTAGAGATATATATGACGAAGGAGATTATCTTGTCCTAGTCACAACGGATCGACAAAGTGCTTTTGATAGGATTCTTGCTTCAATTCCATTCAAAGGACAAGTAATCCTTCTTTTTCACTACCATTCTTCAAATTGCACCCCTTTTATCATTTTGCTGCCAGAAGGTTGATTGCAATCGTGGATACTTTCCAGGTTCTTAATGATACAAGTTTATGGTGGTTCAACCAAACACAGCACATTGCTCCCAATGCAATAATAGCAGTTCCAGATAGAAATGTTACTATTGCAAAGAAATGTTCTGTTTTCCCTGTCGAATTTGTTGGTAAGTTCTGTTTTCAGCACCTGGATTTAAAAATATCGACAAATCTTCTATCTTTTGTTGATTGTTGGATGATGCTTATTTTGTTAAACCTTTTTAGTTAGAGGGTATATGACCGGAAGTACTGATACATCATTATGGACTGTATACAAGAATGGCGTCCGAAATTACTGTGGCAATGTTCTTCCTGAAGGTTTGTAGTCAAATTGATACTGTGTCAATAATCTGAATTTTTTTTCTTTATTTTGGTTTTTAACATAAAAGGGTCTTTAATGATATGCAACAGGCATGGTGAAAAACGAGAGGCTACCTGCAAATATAATCACACCAACTACTAAGGCTGCCGATCATGATGTTCCTATTACTCCAGATGAGGTTTTTATCTTGTTTTCTCATCTCTGCTTCTCTATCTAGTCAACAACATTGCATCACATAGCGTCTTGGAGTGGCTTTTTGAAAATTGAATTTAGTTTATCAAGTTGAAATGTTGAGGAGAAATGAGTAGTGTAAGTGATAAATAAAGGCCTGCTAAGCCTATGTCATGTTAGTCAAAACTGAATTGGTTCATACTCTCTCCGTCCCAAAATAAATGTCTACAATGAAAAAAGACAACTTTAAAAATGTGTAATTATTACACTTTTTAATTAACTAAACAACAATTTTGCCCTTAATAATTGAGGGTGTTATGAATTTCTCCATCTCATAATTAAGGGTAGAATAGGAAAGTAGGCACTTGCTTTTGAAAGTGGAAACTTATTCTGAGACAAACTAAGATAGAAATGTAGAAACTTATTTTGGGGGAGTAATTATTTACTCCATTTGTCCCTTGAAATTTGCAACTTTTGATATTACACATAATTATGAAGTCGCTTGACTGTTGGTTAAATGTCTAAATTACCCATCAGTAATAAAATATAAAATGCAGGAGAATCTTTTTTTTTTTTGATATGAAAATGCAGGAGAATCTTGCCGACCAAAGCAATGACAATAATTGTAGTGATAACAAACAATGACAATAATTGTAGTGATAACAAAGGACCAATAAGTAATTTTAGTACGAGATATTTTGTTTCTTGTAGATTTGTATTACACACACCCAACCCAATTCAACCCAACCCAACCACCCAAACCAAACCAAACCAACCCGGTGTGTTCCACCTGGAGGTGGGATGTACGCAGACCTGACCTCTATCTTCTCAAAAGAGAAGAGCGGCTGTTTCTGTGAAGACCCCTAGCTTGTGCAATGTTTTTGAGAATTATTGTATCTTATTATCCATGCATCACGCCTATATCCGTGCACCCTTATCCTTGAGGTATTTAGATTTTTAACTACGTCCAAGTGATTAGATGCTGTGCCAATTTTTTTTGTGTATTGGAGATTTTAGTTGAAGTCTTGCAGTTCAGAATTCGTGTTATTTCAACTATTGAGCCATATGGCTTACATGTGTATGTATGTATGTACCCTGTATCTATCTTGCAGGTTGTCCGACAAGGGCTGATGAGTCAAGCTGATTATGATGAAGCGAGTAGGAAAGCATTGAGTTTGTTCGAGTATGGCCAGGTAATTTCTCTTCATTCTTTATTAGATCGAAATGTCGCGTTATTTATGTAACATCCCAGAAAGGAAACAGTTGCATCTATGAAGGTTATCGTTTAATCTTTCTACATTAGATTGTTTATCTCTTACTCTTTCGTTACTGTGACAATCTGAGTGACTTCTTTTTGTGATTGTTCTTTGACTTTGCAGCGTGTGGCATCAGAACATGGTCTGATATTAGTCGATACTAAATATGAATTTGGAAAGGGCCCAGATGGTTCCGTGCTTTTGATTGATGAGGTCTCTCTCTCCCCCCCATTCTTGCTCTTATTTGTATGCACACAACCCTTCACCATGCATTTGGTACGCAGGGCGACAGGAGAGGACCATACAAAAACTTGTCCCGCGTTTGGCGCGACATTAGATTGGGACAGAACATGAACTTAGGGGCCGTTTGGTTGGTTTTCTATTATGTCCTGTTTAAATAAAGCTATCTGTGTGGATTAATCTGTTTGTATAGGTTAGGAAGATTTTTGTTTAGGAGGGTTTTTTCGTAGATGGAAGGAGCGTGTTTTTTTAATTGGGACGGACAGCTTTGGAAAAAACTTGGTTTTCTACATAAAACAACCCCCCCCTTAGAATCTTACCGGATAAGCCACTTTCTGTATCATTAAGCCACTACCAAACATCATGCATAGCTGACTGATAAGCTGTTAGTCCTGTTAAGCTCAATAAGATGGTCATAAACAGGCCCTAGTGGGATAAAAATGCATTTTTATGTCCTACCAAAATCGGTGGAACAGAAGTAAGGGTGATTGACAAGATTGGTAAATTACTAAACTACGTGTGTCAAATTAAAACCCTAAAACCTTCCGGGATTCTTGACCTGTCTAACTCTCGCCCATCCGGTCTTGTCCTGTTAGTCCGCGTACCAAATGCACCCTCAAAGATCAGTAAGGCACATGCTATGACCGGTTCAATATTGATCATAGACATCATGACTGTTTATGAAGGTCCATACACCCGACTCAAGCAGATACTGGTTAGCCCATTCTTATGAAGCCCGGTTTCAGAATGGTCATGAACCCGAAAATATTGATAAGGTTCATTCCTTTTCTTTGAATACTTGCTGTTTATGACTACCAAGTTTGTTTGACCTCAAAAGTCAACTATAAACTCTCGTCCCATGAATATTATAACATTTTATATATCTGAAATCTTGTTAGGAATTTTTGAGGTTGTGGTTCAAAGATCATTGCAATCCGTACGAGGACAAGGTAAAAATTGCACCGTACTTTGATTGTCTTCGGATCGGATGTTTCTTGCTTCGTTGTGATTCATATAACATGATCTTTGCCATTTTTAGGTTCTCCCTGATGCTCCGGAAGAGCTTGTTACTGAACTCGCATGGCGGTATGCCTTCATTATCGTTATAATTTCGAATTAGTTTTTTGAACAATCATACTTGTCTTTTATGCCGCAAATTAACCACAATTCTTTGTGAAAATGCAAAAATGCACCAAAATCATGTAAGAATGACCGATATTTGACAAGGTAAAACCAAATCAAACAAACTATCCTAGTATGTCCCACTTGGGGATGGGGTGTATGCAAACATGACGTCTATCCCAAAGAGTAGAATGACTGTTTCAGTGACAATATCCGCCAAGTTGTGGAATGTACTTGTGCTCTTTGCATTATATTGTGGTTTACCTTCGTTCACATGTGAATAGCTTCAAATATTCTATATTTTTTCATGGCAGATACATTTTCTTGTTCGAGACGATAACGAAATCGAGATTTCAGATACCGGAGACAAGGGTAAAACTCGTGGATGTTGTAGCTAAATTGAGTGAAAAATGATAGCAGTCTAAGCCGTTCTTTTGTGTGTTGTGCAGGAACCTATACATGATAGAATAAGTCGCAATGTCTCAAAGGCGTTGTTATTGCTAAAGAAGTAGTTTCAAATTTATTTCCGATGTGGGTAATAAGCAATGCTAAGTTGTCGTATGTTTTCTTGTAGAAGGTCGATCCTTTTGAACTCGTGCCATCTGTGCAAGTATGGACGGATAAATTTGTTTTATAAGAGTATATTTTGACGACATATTTGATCGTTTTGGGTTGTTTGATTTAAGTTTCATTTCTTATGTAGAAGGGCAAAGGGAGGGTAACCGGCTCTGGTCGTGACCGATCTGTCTCTCGAGCCGGGCCAGTTAATGGTGGTTCTTCTCTAGGACACGTGGTGGCCTCTGATTAGGCCACAAGTTTGACCTTTTATTTTTCTTGCATATGACCTCTGATTACAACATTATATATATAGTTATAGCTTTAAATGAGAAAATATTCCTCTTATAAAAATGTAAGAACACTTTTATAACATATGTTCCGTACCAAAAATCGTATCTCATAACAGTAAGCATAGCAAAACATTCAGCTCTTTATCCAATCCTTTCTTAAGGTTGTAACAACCATTTGAGGACAATATCAGGAAAATATATATGTTATCTATTCCATGAAAATTGCAACATTTAACTATCTAATGTGTTTTTTTATTTTCAAGTATCACAAAATTATTAAATTTTAAGTTGAATTTTGACTCTTAAAAGACAATACAATTTTTTTTTGGTAAAGGGGACGGAGCCTTGGAAATTTTCTATTCAATTAAAGATAAAATACAATTACGAGGGACATGCCCCTAGAAAAGAAGTGAAATACATCCCAAAAAAATGTTTGGAAAATACATAAAGTAAAGACCTATTTCTAGAAAGTAGAAACTATGTTTTAAATTTAAACAACCAACAAGCCAAGATAGAAAAGCATTCCATAAAAAAACCCAAAACCAGAACTTTGGGGCGGCCAATTAGCAACCCAATCCTTGTTAACTTTGCAGTTAAATCCCATATATCCTTAATTTATTATCAGCAAAGCCCATGTGGATCTTAAAATTAATACAAACCCAAATTGCCTTCTCAATACCAAAGTCATTTTTCGAAGTCCAATCCAGAATTTCGTACTCAATACAGAACTTAAGATAACCTCAACTCAATACAGAAACCCGAATACTTCATCGAAAGAAACAGTTGCAGTAGTTCAAAGCAGTTCCAAATCTCAATTCTTGCTCCGAATTCATCAAACTACCATCATCAATTCGAACCCAACTGTCAATATCTCCTAATCCCTCATTTCTGCCTAAACTCCAAACCCTTAATCGCCATTGCTCACTATTGACATTTACAGCCCATTGCCGCACCATTAAGATCGAAATGGGGAAAATCAAATCAAGATTTGAGGCACAGTATGAAACAGGAGTCAACATTTTGTTCCTACCCAGAGTACAGAGATCAGAACCCTTTAACCAGTGATACACACGGTTGATTTTACAGTCACATGCATAAGGAATTGAAATCGTAGCCTTCTTCTCGTCATTATATACTTCATGAATTCCTTTATCCAATAAAAGCCAGTTATTGGAATGATGCCTCCCTTTCAAACACCTTGCCAAACTTCCCAGTCACAGTAAAGCTATTTTCTTTTTGACACAACACATACCAAGGCCAATTTGGGACTTTTCGAAGATGGGCACTGCTGTATCAAAATCAATTGGCCTCAAATGATGATAAAATGGAGATACAAACACAGTCAAGCATTGGGATTGATTTCTCCTCCAATATCTATAACTGTTAATTGGAATCGAAGTATTAGGATTCCCAACATCATTCATTTATCAATGGTCCTTGTTGAAAAAAATCCACTTTTATATAGGGGCTGTTTGCAATAAGAAAATTTCCATGATGATGCAGCATAAGATAGCTGGTTGGCTGCATCAGTTGTTCACATAAAAGTCTACAACAAATTCCAATTTGCCAAGTAGATTCCAAAACAACATAAAGATTGTTTTCTTAGCAGGAATTATAGCATTGGAATCTACTTCTCCATTCTTCATTATCCAAATTTACTCCCAAAACACACTTTAACCAGTATACTTTCCTCAAAACAGAAATCCAAGCTATATCAATTTTGACAAATAGCCATAGTTGTACATATAATTCCAGTTCTGGTCCACACAGTTGTAGACCAGCAGCCAAAAATCCAACAAACTGTATTATGTTTCACCAGGAGTCTATAAAAGGGAACTTTAACGGCTACCTGATTATATTAATTCCATAAAGAGATGCAACTCTTTCAGGAGCTTGTTCACTCAAACTAAGACGTTCACCTTTCTCTAATCCAAGGTTTCTAATTCTTTCCTCAAATAAAAGGAAAACTATGAACCAAAATTGACCTGAAAGAAGATGAAGCATGGAGGTATTGTAGTAAGATTAATCGAGTCAAAGACCAAGTTCTTTTTCCTAATACAACAGTTCCTCTATGTAGGCCACGATAGAATAACACAAGTGAGAAACTTGTTACTACAAAAGCCTGAATATGATATAACTGTAGACAATTGCAAGTAACAGGTTCATCAAAACAAAGATTATCTAAAAACAATTAAGCAAAATAGATTTAGGAAAAAAGGGTCTTCTTTTTCCTTGGCGCAACCAGAAAAAGAAATTAGATGAAAGGTACTCATATTAATATTTCAAAAACTAACCTCTCTCATGTTCTGACAACACATGGTAGTCGCAGAAAAAGAAATTAGATGAAACATAACGCAACAGTTGAACATCAAGGAACCAAATGCCATTTGAAAACATGTTTTGATCTCTAATGTTCTGACAACACATGGTAGTCGGGGAACCAAGACAGATGATATTTAAGGATCTCCACAATCTATTTAACTTCTACAATAACTCAAATCTCACACAAAATACGATCAAAACATAGAAGCCGATTACCAGATCATGATAACCAATTTATGTCGGACACAAGCTTTAATAACAGTAAAGAAGATTCAATAAAAAGGTATAGAAGTCAAACTCATAAAATTACATTGATTTCCAAAGTTTTCAACACATAAATCATCGCTCATTTAAGAATAAAGATGACAAAGAATTAAACTTTTTTACCCGATAGAAGGATAGACTTGCCTGTCTCTAGGAACTTCTGCTCCCTCGAAGTTTGACATCTTCTGTTTAAACATTACAAATCAAGAAGTTTAAAACAAAAAAACTGTTCATTCATTTAATGGCTTCAAAATCAACAGTGAAGTACAAAAACTTTTAGACCAATTCTATGCGCTTCTACAAGATCCTACCTGTTCACCTCTTTTTTATTGAATGTCTTCTTTTAGTTCCTTGGAACATGTATATATATGATAAACCTCCTTTGAGGTTTACTTATAGAAGAAGAAATCAGGTTTGAGTAGTTCAACTGCTGTTTCTTAGTTTCAAATAAGGGAGGGTAGTTTGGTAATTGTTTCTTGCTTAAATAGGGAGTTGTCTGGTAGAAGTCGGCATTCTGTTTTGTAAATTCGGTTGAGTTCGTTTGGAGCGTAAGCTCAGGGAGAGGACCCAGACCTCTCGAAAGTCTGGGAATTGTATCGTTTTCATATCTCAATAGACTGGCCGACAATTTCATTCATGTATGTTACAATCGTCGAGTTCTAGCTACTGTAATTCTGCTACTGTGTGTTTACCGCTTACGAATTAGGTTAAGGAGTACGGTTTCTGTTACGATTCAAGCTAGGGTACAACAAATTGGTATCAGAGCTCGTTACGATCAGCAATTGCGAATGTGACGACGAGAAGCGCAAACAATCGAATGAAGACCTAGAGAGCAGCGTGGGTTCAATTGAAAGGAGTCTGAAAAGAATCGTACAGCAAATTGAAGAAATGAGAAACAAATTTGCTAATCGAACGAATGTCTCAAATTCGTCGGACGAGGAAGCTATTGGGCGGTTCGAACGAGGAGATGGAAGTCGTAATCAAGGTAGTCGATTTTTGGCCACGAAAGGTCGCAAATTAGAGATTCCGGTATTTGATGGCAGAGATCCAGATGGTTGGATTTTAAGAGCTGAAAGATACTTCATGTTGAACCAGTTGAGTCAAGAAGAGAAGATTGATGTGTCGTTTATTTCATTTGAAGGAGATGCATTGAAGTGGTTTCAATGGGAAGATAAGCGACATCCTATTACCAGATGGGAGGATCTGAAACACTTGTTAAGACAATTCAGATCGTTAACAGCAGGATCGTTGTGTGAACAATTTTTATCGGTAAGGCAGGAAGGTTCGATCGAAGATTACAGAAGGAAATTCGTTGAATTTGCGGCGCCTTTGGATGGGATTCCGGAACAAGTTTTCTTAAGTCAGTTCATTAATGGATTGGAGGAATCCATTAAAGTGGAATTAAGACTTATGGATCCATTAACTCTCAGTGAAGCAATGGAGATAGCCATGAAGATCGAATTGAAGAACAAGGTATTAGCAAAAGAAAAAAATATGGGGTATAGCAAAAGGACAGGTACGTTTTTTCATTCCAATGCGGATTTGAGAAGCAATGTTTCTAATCATTCCTCTAATAGTGTCGGTAATTCTGTTAATTCACCGACATTTACAAATAAATCGGTTCCCGGTTTTCGACGTTTGTCTGATCAAGAGGTACAACAAAGAAGATCATTGGGTTTGTGTTATCGTTGTGATGAGAAATGCGCACCGGGTTATAAGTGTAAAAAGAAAGAGATGAATGTGTTGTTAGTTCAGGAGGATTCATTCGATGATACTGAACCGGAGACGGAGGAAAGAATCTTTAATGAGGCTGAAGTAACGGATAAAGTGGAGGTGCATTTAAATTCGGTGGTGGGTCTGACTAATCCAAAAACGATGAAGATGGAAGGAAGAATTGGAGGACAAAAGGTTGTAGTATTAATTGATAGCGGTGCAACGCATAATTTCATATCCTACGATCTAGTGAAAAGACAGAAGTTAAAAGTGGAAGCTACAGGAGAATACACTATTACTTTGGGTTCCGGAAATATGGAGAAGGGAAATGGCATTTGCAAAGGGATAACGTTGTTTTTAACAAAAGTCGAGATAAGGGAAGATTTTCTTCCTTTGGGTTTGGGTAATAGTGACGTGATCTTAGGGATGCAATGGTTGGAGTCTTTGGGGGCAACGTATGTTAACTGGAAGTTACAAGTAATGAAATTCACTTGAGGAAAATCGGTAC